ACGAGGGTGTTTTATTGAGTACAATAATACTAATTACCTATGAATACATAAATTTGACAGAAAAGGTACAAAGGCTTGTTAGTAAGATGTTTTATCAAGTAAATAACTGCTTTATTATTATGAATGCATTAAATTGTCCCAAAAAAGGCACAAACCCTTCAGTAGTTATTGAGATAACAGCTTACAAGCAAAACTTTTATACCATGAATTTCTAAGTTGAAAAAGGGGAGAAAAATCAGCCTAAATGCAAGATAGAATTATGGATCTTTGTCAGTGACCTACAATTATGACCCTTAATGCATATGTGAAGTTTTAAATAAATATCTTTAATAGTTATTGAGATATGTAAAACTTGCATGTTAACATTAACCAAGAGGCTAAGTAGAAAAGGGGATATGAATCAGCCTTAATGCAAGATAGAGTTATGGAACTTGGTCAGTGACATACAATTATGACCCTCCAATTATGACCTTAAGTGCATGTGTAAATATTCAAGTAAATATATTTGAAGACCTTTAACCAAAATTTCTAAGTTTCAAAGGGGCAAATAATTCTGCAAATATTGCAGGCAGAGTTATGCAATTTTGCAAACTGATGTACATTGTTACTATAAAAAAGTATTTTAAATTTCAATTCAATTCGAGTTGGTATAGGGCCGAGTTGACTCTTTTCCGGATTAATGCCTCAACACTTTCCTTTTCAAATGTACCTCAGAATACTTCAGTTTAAAGTTTGAATTTTTGACCTAAAATTTTCAACAAAACAATATGGCTGACATTTGATGCACCTTAAGACAGATTAAGTTAGTTCTGGCTTCTATAACTTTATATGTCGCTTTTATTTTGACGTTGCGACAGTAAATAGCAATACTATAAAACCTGTTCGCTGAAGTATCTTTAGCTAGATTAAGTAATCCATTAATTAAATAAAGAATGCATGTATGTCTTGACAATCTGGCTGTTAATTAAAGTTGTTTGAAAATCCTTTTCAATAGTTTTACCTTTTTAATAAAACTTTCAATAGAATGTAAATTTAATAATCCACGTAAATTAATCCATTCACAGTTTTCATTTTTATCGATATACATGTACAGCATATTGCTTTAAATATATATAATACAATTTGAACAAAACGGACCATTTTCTCACTTTGATAATTCTTAATTCTTGAACGAGAAATTTATACTAAAGTGGCTGTCATATACATTTAGTAGGCCCACAGTTTTATTACTTCGTTTCTCTTCAAAACCAGTAAATTTCAGAAAATGAAACTAGTGGTTGGCCTACATTTTGGTTATCAATTTATCGATATATCATAGACTTACGGCGTTTGCAGTGGAATAAGTTTATTTGTACACATGCGAATATTCATTTTCCTACATGGATACTTACTTTTAAAATATTTTACAACAAAACATAATGTATATTCTTACCTTTCTTTCTTACTTATCCAGTTCAAACATGAACTTTGTAGGGTAAAATAAAAAGTTCCAGTACACGGAATCCGGAACACAGGATATTCTCCGCCTTACGCTGGATAGTTTCCGGCCTTGTACACCTTAAATTAAATTTAAATAGTACACTAGTACACTGTCAATAGTCTGATCATTCAATAATAAATTCAGTTTATGTAAATGAAGTGTAAAAAAGCTCGGGAAAGTGATACAAAATTAATTTGAATATACGGGTTGTCGCAAATTCCGGAAAAAATACGGCCCGGCACGTGTTGGTCAGCCCTCAGCCCGTGACATATGGCATGTGCTACCAGCATCGGGGCTGACACGTACACAGACTGCAGGCGTGCCTTACAATGCCTCTATCTTGGGGCTGAAGGGTCCAGAATGAGCTCCTCTTGTAAAATTATCATAACGGTCCTGTTTATATATATGTATATAAAGTCATTGCTATGATTTTTGATGAAGATGATACAAGTGCGCAGATAAATTATATATATGAATAAATACACACATACCACCAAATCGATATGCCAGTCCAATTACGGCACAGCGCCTAGCAGAACAGTCATGAAAGCATAGCCATTGCTAATCCACCATCACAAAAATGATGGTTTCAGAACAGCTTTATATACAGTCAAAAACTGTACTACACATTGAAACTGGCTCAACATTCGCATATATGTAGAGTATATTCTCTGTTATCGTGTCTCACAAATCAACGATGACATTTTTATTGTCTTCTTCATTGATTGGGACCAGAGAACTATATATCGATGTCCGAAAGTCAACTGGAGCCCGTAAGATCCGTAGGACTGTTCTGCTAGGCGCTGTGCCGTAATTGGACTGGCATATCGATTTGGTGGTATGTGTGTATTAATTCTCTCATTTCAATAATAATTTATCTGCACACTTGTATCAACTTCATCAAAAGTCATAGCAATGATTTCCCAACTTATAGTTTTCACAATTACAAAACGCTATACTCTGTAAAGTTATATGTGTTTACATTATTTTTTTATTTTCCGAATGGTTAAATATTTTTAAAGAACCTGAGCCTGGGGCATTTGTGTTTAACAAACACGTTTTTGTTTATATTTAGTATTTGTCAAGCATTTACATAGAAATGGGTTTACATATATTTCTACTAATGTATTCCTTAACTGTAGTAGAAGAGATGACTGGTGTTAAACATTTAATTATGACCCCACTATTTATAATGCAGTTGTAAACTTTTTAAACATGCATTTCTATCAAAGATTCTGAGACAGAAGATAACGGGTTATCTTCTGTCCAGCGAGAATCAATGACTATTGGAATTATTTTAATTAATATTCAGGGAAACATTCTAAGCACACTATGTTTCTGTATTTTTTTAAATTTTTAATTTTTTTCAGCTTTGGGTCCCCAAAAGCGGGAACCCCCTTTATTGGGGAAAATATACAACATACAAAAACAATTAACAAAAAAATTAAAAAAAGATCAGAAAAAAACTAAACATTTGGGATAAGACAGTTCAAATTTTCACATTACATTTATAATATAATTTGAAATGCGATTATATAAATATTCGTTAGGAGAACATTGTAATACGGCGGTTTATTAATTATATTATATGATATTCATAAATATATAGTTTTGTGAGATAGTTTTTACATTTATTTATATATGGTTTATCAAATATACATTGTATCTTATTGGTTTAAACTGTAGGTTTAAACTAATTTCCCCATCTATTATTATTCATATTATATGTGATAACAAAGGAATTTTTTTCGTTTTCGTATCATTACTTTTTGGTTTGTAATAAATTGTCACTTTGGTAATCGTCACATGTTTTCTCTAGAACACATTTGTTATACATACAGTTATCATGTTGATTTACTAGCCATGTATTGTTGTTTGAACTTTGTTTGTTTACAGCATATGGTATACATATAAATTTATCAAAATCATCTTGGGAGAATTATAGTTAAACAAATCGTTTTCTCAACTCAACCTTAATTTATAAGAAAGTTTAATCCATGGTGGATTGTAAACCACTGGCACTTCAACTCTGTAGGATTTAATCTTGTCAGGGACTTTGGTTTCTTTCATATCTGGCTACTTAACGGAAGGTTAATGACTCTACTGCGGTGCTCGCTTTTGACTGCAACAATGCATTGATGAACACTAGAGATTTACCTTAAACAAAAACATGATTACATTATCATAACAATCTTTATATTTTGAATGGTTTTACAGGGAGAGATATTTGTACTTTAATTTCTGTAAATTATCAAATATACTATTATGTACTAAATAGTGGCGTTACTTTGTTTATTCGCCGATATTTTAAATTTGATATATCCTAAGAACACCATGCATGTTTCCTTGTTTGATTTTACAGCAATATTTGATGTACGAAATAGAGCTAAAACCTTCTTATATAAAAAAATAAGCTGATGCACAGTGTATGATAAATAGTGATATTTGTGTTTTTTTGTGGTATTTGTTGTCTAAATGACGTTTTAAGTAGGGCATGGAATTTCATTCGAAATATTCCAAACACCACTGAACATTCAAATAGGGAAAAGCGAAGACGAATGTTTGGGAAAAAAAACTAAAGATTTTTTCTCTCATTTGTTTGTCATATGAGGATCATAGTTCTTTCAATCAAATAACTCACTTGTTTTTCAAACCCTTATATCTGATGAATATATTTGTCATCAATAGTACATGACTTCTATTTGTTGATGTTCAAGGTAAGAGTGACCACAAAACGTTTGCGGGATAATTTTGCATATAGACCCTATAATAAGGTGATGAAAATCGTGTCATATGTGTTACATTTACATCTTTTTACATCTTGTAGGACTGTGTGCAGAACCAACATTTTATAGACACGCTATAGTTTCACAATTTGTATTTGGTTATATGTATATTTTAGACAATTTCTTGTACGGGACTGTGTGCAGAACCAACATTTCAAACACGCTTAAGTTTCACAATTTGTATTTGGTTATATGTACATGATGTATATTTTAGACAAACTTCTTGTATGGGCATTCATTTTCTTAAAAGGTTTTAAATTGTATTTTGCAGGTTTGTTCATAACAAAGCAGTCCTGTTGGATATAACAATGCCATGTCGAACATAAAAAGTGATCAAATAATCATTATTCTCTATCACATTTGCACTTATCGTTATTTGCTGTTCCTAGATGTTCCATTTGAATGATGTTTCACCTAATACAATAATATACATGAATACCAGCAAATAGAAACTCTACTGATTTTTTTATCTCAAAAGTAACCAGGATGTCTTCGATGTTTTAACTGCTGGGCTTTTTATCAATTAAAGAAAATTTGTGGAAAATCTAAATATTTATTGGCAAAATGATATGATACAATATATTACACAAATGTCACTGTCAGAATAACTTCAGAAAGATATTTCTCCTTAACAGTAAATGAAATGGATACACTATCGTTTCTTAAAATTAATTGTCTTCTATAAATACTAGATTACACTCAAAGTAATGAATTGAACGGTAACATATCTCTAAGTCCATTTTACACTAAATATTTTGATTATATCACGAGGAGAACTTTTTCCACTTTCAGACGAACAACTAATGTACAGTTTATGATTTCTATCATTGTAATATACAGCCACTGGATTATAAAAGTCTGTTTTCTCTAATCCTACAATTTCACATTTCTTGAAGCTGCTCGACAATCTTACAATATTGCTACTGTCTGTGTAGCATACTAACAACGTACCATCTTCCAACTCTTGTATTCCTTTAGGATATATATATCCTTGATCCGCGAATCTTTGTAAAACATTACCTTGCCAGTCTACTTTTACAACTTCACTTTGCTGACCATCATAATTAGATACATACATGAACTTCTCATCACTGCTGATAACAATCTTGTCGGGCCCCTTAAACAAGCCAGGAGTATCAAACACCTGTATGATATTTCCGTCTAAATCCAGAATAACCAGCTTTCCTGGATTAAAATTACAGCCTACTACTAGCTTGTCCTGACAATAAGCTACACAATAACACGATTCTCCGACATCTATACGACGATCTAAAGACAAACTTGTATCAGTGTAAGACACTATCTGGATACACTTTTCAGCAGGTAATGCAACAGCAAGTTTATTTTGTGGAAGTTTTATAACATCGCGTGGTGATGAAGATAGGATTATCTCTGATACCAGCGTTCCTGTGTCTATATTAATTATTTTAATTTTCTTATTGTTGTAGTCAGCGACGATCATATTTGTTGTGGAAATCAGTACCATTCCTAAGATATTGCTTCTTGACTTATCAGAGGGGGGTTGCACTTGAATTTCTCTTTCATATTGGACACATACTGCACTTTCTGCACAAGGTCTCCTGTATGCCGAAATCGTTCCAAGAATGTTGCTACTTTTCAGTTTATTAAGTGTCTTCTCATTTTGTATGAATATGATTTCAGCATCTGTTTTGATATCTTCAGCTAATTGTTTCTCTTTATCCGATAGTTTTGCAACTTGAGGTTCAGCGTGTTTCATCTCAATAAACAGCTTATTCCGCTTGTTTTCGTCACTCAGAGACTTGAGCATTGACATTGTACTTGACATTTCCTCTGCGATATGTAAGCTTCCTGTCATTACATTTTCTTGTTTACTCTTTGCTGTCAGTGCGAGAGATTTAGCGTCCCTCATAATTTCGGCTTCCATCTTATCCAGACATTCGTTTATTTCATTTCTGAAAACTTGTATATCTTCAACAACGGCCGTATACATGTGTTCTATGTTTGCTGTAGCAGTCTCGGCAATTCTAACATTAGATTTACACTTTTGCATAAGTGTCTCCATTCTGTCAATCAGTTTTTCAAGCTCACCAGACACATTTCCTGAAACATCGGGAATATAGTCTACTTTGCAGTGCTTGTGTTCTAGAGTCACACAAACGTAACACATATTAGACTCATGTGTGTTACAATAGAATTCCAGTGGTTTATCGCTATGCTTTGTACAAAAATCAGTTATTTGATCATTGTTTGTATTCCCGGACTTCGATTGCTGTGGCATTCTGTCTTTATCAAGCAGGACGTGGTTCATGGTAGGTTTTGGTTTCCTGTGGTGTTTATAACAACTCTCACAAAGATGTTCCTCGCAGTCCTGACAATAACCAAAAGCTGGTTCTTTTAAACCTTCTCTGTCGCAAGGAAAGCAGTAAAGATTGGAATCTTGTTCTGAAGAAACAGCAAATTTCCCCGACACTTCCATGTTTTTATCTGTAATAAAGATCGGAAAGAAACATGTATTTTACGGAAGATTAATAATTATCAAAGGTAAGTAATAGAAAGAGCATCGAAACACGAGGCTATCTGATTTGTACGATGGGATTGCCGAGTGTTTTGATGTTCTTTCTATTTTGTATCATAGTCAAACATAACTAGAACTATCACTAAATGTGGTTAATAACCCCGCAAGACTGCTTCGGAAATGAGAAAGTTACTAGTAACAGAATACCTTGCAAAAGAATTGAAATAGAGTTATGGTTGTGGGCAATTGGGCAATTAAAGATAGTTGTGGTTCTTGTATGTTGCATTTCCTTTCAATGTGGTTGACCATTGATGAAGTTTTATTAAATTACTCTGTAATAAGTCCAGAAAGAGTTACACTTCTTAAGCACTGCACTTCCTCTCATTGCGCTTGACCATTGTATGAAGTTGCATTGAATTCTAAACATTAATTTTTAAGTTATTCACCATACAAGGAAGAGGAACAAAGAGCAATAACTCTACAAATACTGCAGATTGAGTTATGGTTTTTGTACGCTGCACTTCCTATCATTGTGCTTGACCATTGTATGAAATTGTATTGAATTCCAATTACTAGTTTTCAAGTTATGCACTGGACAAAAAAGTAACAAAGGGCACTAACTGTAATTAGTCCAAATAAAGTTATGGTTCTTGTGCACTGCACTTCATCTCACTGCCCTTGCCCATAGTATGAAGTTTCTTTCCAACCATTAACTTTCAAGTTATGCACTTGACAATAAAAAGTAACAAAGGGCAAACTCTTAAATGAGTCAATAAAGAGTTATGGTTTCTGTGCACTGCACTTTCTCTCAATATACTTGACGATTGTATGAAATTGTATTGAATTCCAACCAGTACTTTTCAAGTTATGCTCCGGACAAGGAAAAGTATCGAAGGGCAATAACTCTGTAATTTGTCAAAATAGTGTGATGGTTCTTGTGCACTGCGCTTTCTCTTAATATGCTTGACGATTGTATGAAGTTGTATTGAATTCCAACTAATAGTTTTCAAGTTATGCTCTGGACAAGAAAAAAACAATGGAAAAGTAACAAAGGGCAATAACTCTATAATTACTCTGGACAGAGTTATGGTTCTTGTGCACTGCAATTGCTTTTTGTGCTTGACCATTGTATGAAGTTGTTTTGAATTCCAACCAGTACTTTTCAAGTAATGCTCCGGACAAGGAAAAGTATCTAAGGGCAATAACTCTGTAATTTGTCAAAATGGTGTGATGGTTCTTGTGCACTGCACTTCCCCTTTTTGTGCTTGACCATTGTATAAAGTTGTATTGAATTCCAACCAGTAATTTTCAAGTCAAAATGCTCTGGACAAGGAAAAGTAACAAAGAGCAATAACTCTGTAATTAGTGAAGATGGAGTTATGGTTCTTGTGCACGGCACTTCCTCTCAATGTGTTTGACCATTGTATGAAGTTGTATTGAATTCCAACCATTAGTCTTTAAGTTATGCTCCGAACAAGGAAAATGCAACGGACCGCTGGACCGACCGACCGACCAACCAACCGACCACCGAGTGACTGCTTTATATCCCCCCAAACTTCGTTTCGGTGGTATAAAAACACGTTCCCTGTTGTCACAATATAAAACCCCAGAAAAAAGTAACCAATGAACGAGCATCTGAATATGATACTTTTATCGCTTTCCCTTTCTTTGCCGCCACAATAAGTAAACCCCAGCAAAAATAAGCCAATCAATGGGCATGCTCTGGAGTGCGGGTAACTAATACCTGCACTCCAGTTAACGCACTGTGCATGTATATGTATACGATTTAACTCTGACACATTTTCAACAGAAAGGTCCCCAAACACAATTAGTAAAAAATTAACTATAAGTAATAACTAGAACTCCGCGAGTCGGATGTGTCGCCTTATGAACAATATAGTTTAGGAGAAATGGCCACGACAAAAATGAAATTTGAAAATCAACAAAGGGCAATAACTCAAAAAATAAGAAATGCAGAGAAGCAGTCTCTGTGCACTGCACTTCTTATATTTATGAGAAATGGCCTGGACAAAAATAAAGTATGAAAATTAACAAAGGGCAATAACTCAAAAAAATAAGAAATGCAGAGTACCCGTTCTTATGCACTGCACTTCTTCTTAATGAGATCTATCATCCTATGAAGTTTCAAGTCCATAGCTTTTATCCTTTAGGAGAAATGGCCTGGACAAAAATAAAGTATGAAAATTAACAAATGGCAATAACTCAAAAAATAAGAAATGCAGAGTACCCGTTCTTGTGCACTGCACTTCTTAATGAGATCTATTTTCCTATGAAGTTTCATGTCCATAAATTTTATACTTTAGGAGAAATGGCCCAGACAAAAATAGAGTACAAAAATTAACAAAGGGCAATAACTCAAACAAGAGGGCCATGATGGCCCAAAGTCGCTCACCTGTATATAAGACCCTGGAGCGGGGCCAGTTTAAACCCCAGGGCTTTTATTTGAACAAACTTGGTTGTATATGTATGCATGTATATATATATATATATATATATATATATATATATATATATATATATATATATATATATATATATATATATATATAGATATATATATATATATATATATATATATATATAAATATATATGTATATATATAATATGTATATATCTAAAAAAAAAAAGTCAAGCTAATGAATGACCCCCGGGCGCGGGCCAATTTTGACCCAGGGCTTTTATTTGAACAAACTTGGTAGACACCCATGAGAACATGTTTCATGCTAAATATCTTAGCTCTAGCTCTTTGAGTTCTTTAAAAGAAGATTTTTTAAGTTTCTACTATATGCACATAGGGAAAATCAATGACCCCTGGGGGCGGGGCCAATTTTGACCCTAGGGCTTTTATTTGAACAAACTTTGTAGACACTCATTAGAAGATGTTTCATGCTAAATATCTTAGCTCTAGCTCTTTGGGTTCTTTAAAAGAAGATTTTTTAAGTTTTAACTATATGCATATAGGGAAAATCAAAGACACCCTGGGGCTGGGCCAATTTTGACCCTAGGTCTTTGATTTGAACAAACTTGGTAGACACTCACTAGAAGATGTTTCATGCTTTATATCTAAACACTAGCTATCTGGGTTTTTTCAAAGAAGATTTTTAAGTTTTTGCTATACACAGTCATATAAGGAAAATCAATGACCCCCGGGGCGGGGCCAATTTTGACCCTAGGGCTTTGATTTGAACAAACTTTGTAGACACTCACTAGAAGATGTTTCATGCTTAATAGCTAAACTCCAGCTATTTGGGTTTTTTTAAAGAAGTTTTTTAAGTTTTTGCTATACACATATAAGGAAAATCAATGACCCCCGGGGCGGAGCCAATTTTGACCCCAGGGCTTTTATTTGAACAAACTTGGTAGACACCCATTAGAATATGTTTCATGCTAAATATCTTAGCTCTAGCTCTTTGAGTTCTTTAAAAGAAGATTTTTTAAGTTTTTACTATATGCATATAGGGAAAATCAATGACCCCCTGGGGCGGGGCCAATTTTGACCCTAGGGCTTTGATTTGAACAAACTTGGTAGGCACTCATTAGAAGATGTTTCATGCCAAATATCTAAGCTCTAGCTCTTATGGTTTTTTAGAAGAAGATTTTTTAAGTTTTTCTTATTGGTTGCCATGGCAACCAGAGTTTTTAATGGAATTTAAATTTTTGAACAACTTTGAAAGGGGTCCACCTAAGGATCATTTCTGTAAAGTTTGGTTGCAATTGGCCATGTAGTTTAGGAGGAGATGTTGTTTGAAAAGTTTGACGCCATTTTTTGAAGGACGCACGACGCACGCAGAGTGATGACAAAAGCTCACCTTTGAGCACTTCGTGCTCAGGTGAGCTAAAAATAAGAAGTGCAGAGTACCCGTTCTTGTGCACTGCACTTCGGGTCATTATAAGAAGCATGCATACCAAGTTTGAAGTCAATCCAACTGATAATGACTGACTTATGCTCCGGACAAGCTTTAGGGGGCGCCGACAACGACGCCGGCAAAAGTAACCCCTATATGTCGCCTTTTTCAAGGCGGCACAAAAAGAGCATCGAAACACGAGGCTATCTGATTTGTACGAGGGGAAGTGGGGGGCGTAGCCCCCCGAGTATTTATCAAATTGCCGAGTGTTTTGATGTTCTTTCCATTTTGTATCATAGTCAAACAGAAAAACACGTTCCCTGTTGTCACAATATGAAACCCCATGAAAAAGTAACCAATGAATGAGCATCTGAATATGATATTTCTGTCTGTTTCTTTGCCGTCACAATTAGTAAACCCCAGCAAAAATGAGCCAATCAATGGGCGTGGTCCGGAGTGCGGGTATCTAATACCTGCACTCCAGTTAAGCACTGTGCATGTATATGTATACGATTTAACTCTGACACATTTTCAACAGAAAGGTCCCCAAACTATGATACAATTCTTGCTTGAACTTCACCATCTTTTCAATGAGATCTGGTTAAAATCAAACACATGATTGTCAATTCTACTCATTGAAATACTTTGTTTTCATCTGCACAATTTAGTCAGGTAATACAAATTTCATTAACACGTTTGATTATCTTAGACAGATTAAGTAATCCATTTATTAAATAAAGAATGCATGTATGTCAACAATCTGGCTGTTAATTAAAGTTGTTTGAAAATCCTTTTCAATAGTTTTACCTTTTTAATAAAACTTTCAATAGAATGTAAATTAAATTATCCACGTAAATTAATCCATTCACAGTTTTCATTTTTATCGATATACATGTATGTTGCTTTTAATATAAATACAATTTGAACAAAACGGACCATTTTCTCACTTTGATAATTCTTGAACGAGACATTTATACTAAAGTGCCTGTCATATACATTAAGTAGGCCCGCAGTTTTATAACTTTAGAAAGATTATCACGTATCTCTTCAAAACCAGTAAAGCCCAATTCTAATTTTCAGAAAATGAATTGTTACTAGGGCCATCCTTAAAAAAATGTTTGTTTGCAGTAACCCGACCCAGAATTTTCAAGGTGGGTAGGTAGGTCGATTTTTTTTTTTATTATTGATCTGTACTCCCAAATAAACATGGAATTTCAAAATGCTGGACAATATATGCTTTGATAATCTGGTAACAATTAATAAATTGATAACTGAATTCTAATTTAATAAGACCTACATTTTATTTCTTCCATCAACCTTTAAAAGAACAAAAACAAAGCACAAGGCATAATTTTCTGATTCAAAAAAATTTTTTTTTATCCAGACCATGAAAAAAAATTTTGAGTAGGGGCAAATTTTGTGAGTCGGTCGCGTTACTGCAAACGAACATTTTTTAAAGGATGGCCTAGTGGTTGGCCTACATTTTGGTTATCAATTTATCGATATATCACAGACTTGCGGCGTTTGCAGTGGAATACGTGTATTTGTACACATGCGAATATTCATTTTCCTACATGGATACTTACTTTTAAAATATTTTACAACAAAACATAATGTATATTCTTACCTTTCTTACTTCCTTATACAGTTCAAAGGGTAAAATAAAAAGTTCCAGTACACGGAATCCGGAACACAGGATATTCTCCGCCTTACGCTGGATAGTTTCCGGCCTTGTAAACTTTAAATAATACAATAGTACACTGTCAATAGTCTGATCATTCAATAATAAATTCAGTTTATGTAAATGAAGTGTAAAAAAGCTCGGGAAAGTGATACAAAATTAATTTGAATATACGGGTTGTCGCAAATTCCGGAAAAAATACGGCCCGGCACGTGTTGGTCAGCCCTCAGCCCGTGACATAGGGCATGTGACACCAGCATCGGGGCTGACACGTACACAGACTGCAGGCGTGCCTTACAATGCCTCTATCTTGGGGCTGAAGGGTCCAGAATGAGCTCCTCTTGTAAAATTATCATAACGGTCCTGTTTATATATATGTATATAAAGTCATTGCTATGACTTTTGATGAAGATGATACAAGTGCGCAGATAAATTATATATATGAATAAATACACACATACCACCAAATCGATATGCCAGTCCAATTACGGCACAGCGCCTAGCAGAACAGTCATGAAAGCATAGCCATTGCTAATCCACCATCACAAAAATGATGGTTTCAGAACAGCTTTATATACAGTCAAAAACTGTACTACACATTGAAACTGGCTCAACATTCGCATATATGTAGAGTATATTCTCTGTTATCGTGTCTCACAAATCAACGATAACATTTTTATTGTCTTCTTCATTGATTGGGACCAGAAAACTTTATAGCAATGATTTCCCAACTTATAGTTTCCACAATTACAAAACGCTATGACTCCGTAAAGTTATATGTGTTTACATTTTTTTATTATTTTCCGAATGGTATAATATTTTTAAAGAACCTGAGCCGGGGGCATTTGTGTTTAAGAGTCTATGACATCTAGACCCCTTGACACCTCGACCCCTTGACACCTCGACCCCTTAGACATCTCGACCCCTGACACTTAGACCCCTAAGACACTTAGACCCCTTAAATATACCGGACATTTCGACCCTTTATTAATGTATTGTTCTTTAAGGAAAGATCGTGCTTTTTTTAAATAAAAAAACAACAAAGTATTGACTAGTTTAGAACATTTTCAGCCGTTTATTAATCATTTATGTATATTATTTACAAAAACAGTAACACAAATAAATATGCATGTTCACACATTTCATTGAAATAACAATACATAGAATACGCAGACACTATCACTCTCTTTATATGCAAGTATGTAATAAGTACAATATTTACAATATATATACTTTTTGAAGCTGTATTTTTGTATGTCTTATTGATAATATTTTTCCAATTATACATTTCCTTGTCTGAATGATCAACGGAGTTGTCATGATCAGATGTTGCTTGATCTGAAGGAGCGTCACTGCAAATACTACAAGTGAACTGTACGACGCTTAAACGTTTACGTGCCTTGTAATAATCGATCCTACTGATACCTGCAAAATACAAATTTTTCATCTTATAACAAAATCTAAAAAAATAAAGTAATGTTTTATTGATAATACATGTATATACCGTTCTAATGAGCGATAATCGGATTAGTATTGGCACGCGCCAGTGTTAATCCAATTACGTGTCACTGAATAAACACATACATGTATGACCGATAATTTGATTATTTAACGGCACGCGCCGGTGTTTATCCTATCACGTGTCACTGATTAAACACATACATGTATGACATTAAACCAGCACACGGGAGATACATGATGATTTTTTATTAAAGTCATTTTCATTTTTTGTGGTCAAAATATGTATGAAAGTGATTAAATGTGTATCAAAAATAAATCCTTATTATTATTATTTTTTTTTTTGATACAGTTTGATGCACGCTCATTCTAATTTTCACCGTTACGAATTTTAATTGTTTAAGTAATGAGTCATATATATTTTTGTAAATATCTGACAGACCAAGTCAATAAATATATCTTCAACTATATCATTTATCTAAAATTACTGTAGTTTTTTTTATTTTGATAAATATGGCGGTCAGCTTCCGTAAATTATTACGCAGTCAATAATTACATTTCCGTAAACTATTACACACAATTCTATATTTCATTTAGTATAAACGTTCATTGCCAATGTAATATTATTACGTCTTACAAAACAATAAACTGAAGTTTACAAAGTTTTAGTTATTATTAATACGACTTGCGTATGAATTATATGTAAATGGAAAAATGAAACATTACTCACCAGTATTGCAGGTTCTGTGTTGCACCTTCTGTAACGACATGTTGTAAAGGACGAACAGTCTCTTTGCACGCAATACACAAAACGGACAATATCATTTAATAAATTATCATTTAATAAATTAATATGATTATGACAAATATACTCTCAAAAATAAAAGTCTGTAATAATATTCCTCCACTTATTTATCAGACAATATTAATAGGAAACACGCTTAATATTAATAAAACTGAAATGTTGTAGTAAATACGCGTTTTTATGTATATCTTCACAAGTTTGAGTAAATGATATTATTAAGAAATGTGTGTAAATAATTAGCAAAAGCTTTCTATAACATCAATACTCATTTGTAACGCGTGATGTTATATATTTAATAAATATTTCTTACTTAATGCACTAATAACAAAATTATAAATTAGCACCATTGCATTAAACCACGGGACTTTAATCCGATTTTAGTCCGTAATTAAACAAATGAAAACTGTGATTAGTTTATTATAATCACCAAAATTAGATTTAAAAAAAAAATGTAAATTTTGCAACTGATATGTCAGAAAAACAAATAAATTTAAACAAAAATCTTAAAGATTATATATAAGTCTTACAATATTTTCAAAATATATAAACGGTTCTTTTAAAGTCCAACATTTAAAACAGGAGTCGAAATGTCTTACTCAGTAGGGGTCGAAAAGTCATCTTACAAGGGGTCTAAGAGTCAAGGGGTCTAGATGTCATCTTAATATCCTAAGGGGTCGAGAAGTCAAGGGGTCTAGATGTCTTACTTGCGTGTTTAACAAACACGTTCTTGTTTATATTTAGTATTTGTCGAGCATTGTTATATATATATATCTACTAATGTATTCCTTAACTGTAGTAGAAGAGATGATTGGTGTTAAACATTTAATTTTGACCCCACTATTTATAATGCAGTTGTAAACTTTTTAAACACGCATTTCTATCAAGATTCTGAGACAGAAGATAACGGGTTATCTTCTGTCCTAGCGAGAATCAATGACTATTGGAATTATTTTAATTTATATTCAGGGAAACATTCTAAGCACACTATGTTTCTGTATGTTTTTTTTCCATCTTCTAGTCCACAAATGTGGAACCCTAGGGTGTACAACAAAAAGTGGTTTCCTGGGGGGGGAGGGGGCTGACATATTGGTGGAAGATTTTGATAAAAATAATGCAATAGGTGAAAATTGTGCATGTTTGAAGAGTGGGCCAGCAGTTATAACTGATGTGTTTTATAGCTCATCATGAGTGGCTTCGTACTTCGCTTATATATATATGCGCATACTATGTTTTTTTGTAAACATTTAGATGATATGGAATAAAGAAAGATATATGTAATTGGGGTGGGCCTGGGTGGGGTGTCTTCTCCCATAGACTGAGAAAATTTTGAAATACGAGGTTGAAAATGGTGTTATTTCCTTGACTTTCTAGTGCTGTTTATGGTACCTTTTGGATGGTTTTACACCACCATGGAGCTTAATATAAGATTTTATATATCTGTGACATCGCACTGTATTTTGCAAAAGTTAGTGTTTGCAAGGTTTGCAACCCCATTTATTGGAAAGACATACATACAATCATACAATAAAGAATAGTCATACAAATAAATATAAAGAAGATCAGTAAAAAAAACTAAACATGTGGTATAATACAGTTTCAAAATTTTTCACATTACATTTATAATATAATTTGAAATGCGATTATATAAATATTCGTTAGGAGAACATTGTAATACGGCGGTTTATTAATTATATTATATGATATTTATAAATATATGGTTTTGTGAGATAGTTTTTACATTTATTTATATATGGTGTATCAAATCTACATTGTATCTTATTGGTTTAAACTAATTTCCCCCTCTATTATTATTCATATTATATGTGATAACAAAGGGATTTTTTTTCGTTTTGGTATCATTAGTTTTTGGTTTGTAATAAATTGTCACTTTGGTAATCGTCACATCTTATTAAAAAAATATCGTAATGTTTTCTCTAGAACACATGTGTTATACATACAGTTATCATGTTGATTTACTAGCCATATATTGTTGTATGAACTTTGTTTGTTTACAGCAAATGGTATACATATTTATCAAAATCATCTTGGAAGAGCAGTAAATGATAGTTAAGCAAATCGTTTTCTCAACTCAACCTTAATTTGCAAGAAAGTTTGATCCATGGTGGACTGTAAACCACTGGCACTTCAACGGTGTAGGATTTAATCTTGTCAGGGACTTTGGATTCTTTCATATCTGGCTACTAACAAAGGTTAATGACTCTACTGCGGTGCTCGCTTTTGACTGCAACGATGCATTGATGAATAATGGAGATTTACCTTTACCAAAAACATGATTACATTATCATAACAATTTTTATATTTTGAATGGTTTTACAGGGAGAGATATTTGTACTTTAATTTCTGTAAATTATCAAATATACTATTATGCACTAAATAGTGGCGTTACTATGTTTATTCACCGATATAATTTGATATATCCTAAGAACACCATGCTTGTTTCCTTGTTTGATTTTACAGCACTGTTTTGATGTACGAAATAGAGCTAAAACCTTCACGTATTTTAATCTACGAAATATATCTAAAACAGTCTTAAATTTGAAGTTGACATTGGTTCAATTGATTGCTGCAGTATGAGTTAAATTACAAGTTACAGCAGTTATGAATAATGTTTTGCTGAATAAGTGTTTAACCATATATAGCAGAAGTTAAAATGGAGTAAAATACAGGATGTAAACTTGGGTTTTTATAAAAAGTTCAGACAGATAAGTGGATTTTAAAAAAGCTGATGCACAGTGTAGGATAAATACTGATATTTGTGTTTTTGTGGTATTTGTTGTCTAAATGACGTTTTAAGTAGGGCATGGAATTTCATTCGAATATTCCAAACACCACCGAACATTTAAATAGGGAAAAGCGAAGACGAATGTTTGGGAAAAAACAAAATATTTTTTCTCTCATTTGTTTGTCTCAAAATTTCAAAATATGAGGATCATAGTTCTTTCAATCAAATAATTCGCTTGTTTTTCAAACTCTTTATATCTGATGAATATGTTTGTCATCAACAGTATATGACTTCTATTTGTTGATGTTCAAGGTAAGATTGACCACAAAACGTTTGCGGGATAATTTTGCATATAGACCCTATAATAAGGTGATGAGAATCATGTCATATGTGTTACATTTACATCTTTTTTACGTCTTATAAGACTGTATGCAGAACCAACATTTTAGACATGCTTAAGTTTCACAATTTGTATTTGGTTATATGTATATTTTAGACAACTTCTTGTACGGGCATTCATTTTCTTAAAAGGTTTTAAATTGTATTTTGCAGGTTTGTTCATAACAAAGTAGTCCTCTTGGATATAACAATGCCATGTCAAACATAAAAAGTGATCAAATAATCATTATTCTCTATCACACTTGCACTTATCGTTATTTACTCTTCCTAGATGTTCCATTTGAATGCTGTTTCACCTAATACAATAATATACATGAATACAAGCAAACAGAAACTCTACTGTTTTTTTTATCTCAAAGTAATCAGGATTTCTTCGATGTTTTAACTGCTGGGCTTTTTATCAATTCAAAGATAATTTGTGGTTAATTAAAATATTTATTGGCAAAATGATATGATACAATATATTACACAAATGTCACTGTCAGCATACTTTCAGAGAGATAGTTCTCCTTAACAGTAAATGAAAGGGATACACTATCGTTGCCTAAAATTAATTGTCTTCTATAAATACTAGATTACACTCAGAGTGGTAACATATCTCTAAGTCCATTTTACACTAAATATCTTGATTATATCACAAGAATATAATTTTTTTTCACATGAACAACTAATGTACAGTTTATGAGTTCTATCATTGTAATATACAGCCACTGGATTATAAAAGTTTGTTTTCTCAATGCCTACAATTTCACATTTCTTGAAGCTGCTCGACAATCTTACAATATTGTTACTGTTTTTGTAGCATACTAACAACGTACCATCTTCCAACTCTTGTATTCCTTTTGGTCTTACATATCCTCTATTTTCGAATGTTTGTACGCTTTTACCTTGCCAGTCTACTTTTACAACTCTACTATGCTGAACATTACAATCAGATACATACATGAACTTCTCATCCCTGCTGATAACAATCTTTTCGGGCCCCTTAAACAATCCAGGATTATCAAACACCTGTATCAATTTTCCGTCTAAACCCAGAATAACCAGCTTCCAGTGTTTAGAATAACAGCTTACTATCAGCTTGTCTTGATAATAAGCTAAACAATAACATGATTCTCCAACATCTATATGACGATCTAAAGACAAACTTGTATCAGTATAAGAAATTATCTCAACATACTTTTCATCACGTAATGCAACAGCAAGTTTATTTTGTGGAAGTTTAATAACATCTCGTGGTGATGAAGATAGGATTATCTCTGATACCAACGTTCCTGTGTCTATATTTATTATTTTAATTTTGTTATTGTTGTTGTCAGCGACGATCATATTTGTTGTGGAAATCAGTACCATTCCAGAAATATTGCTTCTTGACTCATCAGAGGAGTTTTGCACTTGAATTTCTCTTTCATATTGGACACATACTTCACTTTCTGCACAAGGTCTCCCGTATGTAGAAATCGTTCCAAGAATGTTGCTTCTTTTCAGTTTATTAAGTGTCTTCTCATTTTGTAGGAATATGACTTCAGCATCTGTTTTGATATCTTCAGCTAATTGTTTCTCTTGATCCGATAGTCTTACAACTTGAGGTTCAACGTGTTTCATCTCAATAAACAGCTTGTTTCGCTTGTTTTCGTCGCTCAGAGACTTGAGCATTGACATTGTACTTGACATTTCCTCTGCGATATGTAAGCTTCCTGTTTTTACATTTTCTTGTTTACTCTTTGCTGTCAGTGCGAGAGATTTAGCGTCCCTCATAATTTCGGCTTCCATCTTATCCAGACATTCGTTTATTTCATTTCTGAAAACTTGTATATCTTCAACAACGGCCGTATACATTTGTTCTATATTTGATGTAGCAGTCTCTGCAATTCTAACATTAGATTTACACTTTTGCATAAGTGTCTCCATTCTGTCAATCAGTTTTTCAAGCTCACCAGACAAATTTCCTGAAACATCGGGAATATAGTCTACTTTGCAGTGCTTGTGCTCTAGAGTCACACAAACATAACACGCATTAGAATCATGTGTGTTACAATAGAATTCCAGTGGTTTATCGCTATGTTTTGTACAAAAATCAGTTATTTTATCATTTTTTACATTCCCAGTCTTCAATTGCTTAGGCATTCTGTCTTTATCAAGCAGAACGTGGTTCATAGTAGGTTTTGGTTTCCTGTGGTGTTTATAACAACTCTCACAAAGATGTTCATCGCAGTCCTGGCAATAACCAAAAGCTGGTTCTTTTAAACCATCTCTGTCGCAAGGAAAGCAGTAAAGATTGGAATCTTGTTCTGAAGAAACAGCAAATTTCCCCGACACTTCCATGTTTTTATCTGTAATAAAGATCGGAAAGAAACATGTATTTTACGGAAGATTAATAATTATCAAAGGTAAGTAATAGAAAGAGCATCGAAACACGAGGCTATCTGATTTGTACGATGGGATTGCCGAGTGTTTTGATGTTCTTTCTATTTTGTATCATAGTCAAACATAACTAGAACTATAACCCCGCAAGACTGCTTCGGAAATGAGAAAGTTACTAGTAACAGAATACCTTACAAAAGAATTGAAATAGAGTTATATGGTTGTGGGAAATAGGGCAATTAAAGATAGTTGTGGTTCTTGTACGTTGCATTTCCTTTCAATGTTGTTGACCATTGATGAAGTTTTAAATTACTCTGTAATAAGTCCAGAAAGAGTTACACTTCTTGAGCACTGCACTTCCTCTCATTGCTCTTGACCATTGTATGAAGTTGCATTGCATTCAGAACATTAATTTTTAAGTTATTCACCGTACAAGGAAGAGGAACAAAGAGCAATAACTCTACAAATACTGCAGATTGAGTTATGGTTTTTGTACACTGCACTTCTTCTCATTGTGCTTGACCCTTGTATGAAATTGTATTGAATTCCAATTACTAGTTTTCAAGTTATGCACTGGACAAAAAAGTAACAAAGGGCACTAACTGTAATAAGTCTAAATAAAGTTATGGTTCTTGTGCACTGCACTTCATCTCACTGCCCTTGCCCACTGTATGAAGTTTCTTTCCAACCATTAACTTTCAAGTTATGCACTTGATAATAAAAAGTAACAAAGGGCAAACTCTTAAATCAGTCAATAAAGAGTTATGGTTTCTGTGCACTGCACTTTCTCTCAATATACTTGACGATTGTATGAAATTGTATTGAATTCCAACCAGTACTTTTAAAGTTATGCTCCGGACAAGGAAAAGTATCGAAGGGCAATAACTCTGTAATTTGTCAAAATAGTGTGATGGTTCTTGTGCACTGCGCTTTCTCTCAATATGCTTGACAATTGTATGAAGTTGTATTGAATCCAACTAAAAGTTTTCAAGTTATGCTCTGGACAAGAAAAAAGCAATGGAAAAGTAACAAAGGGCAATTACTCTATAATTACTCTGGACAGAGTTATGGTTCTTGTGCACTGCAATTGCTTTTTGTGCTTGACCATTGTATGAAGTTGTTTTGAATTCCAACCAGTACTTTTCAAGTAATGCTCCGGACAAGGAAAAGAATCTAAGGGCAATAACTCTGTAATTTGTCAAAATGGTGTGATGGTTCTTGTGCACTGCACTTCCCCTTTTTGCGCTTGACCATTGTATAAAGTTGTATTGAATTCCAACCAGTAATTTTCAAGTCAAAATGCTCCGGACAAGGAAAAGTAACAAAGGGCAATAACTCTGTAATTAGTGAAGATGGAGTTATGGTTCTTGTGCAATGCACTTCCTCTCTATGTGTTTGACCATTGTATGAAGTTGTATTGAATTCCAACCATTAGTCTTTAAGTTATGCTCCGAACAAGGAAAATGCAACGGATCGCTGGACCGACCGACCGACCAACCAACCGACCACCGAGTAACTGCTTTATATCCCCCCAAACTTTGTTTCAGTGGTATAAAAACACGTTCCCTGTTGTCACAATATAAAACCCCAGAAAAAAGCAACCAATGAACCAGCATCTGAATATGATACTTTTATCGCTTTCCCTTTCTTTGCCGCCACAATAAGTAAACCCAAGCAAAAATAAGCCAATCAATGGGCATGCTCTGGAGTGCGGGTAACTAATACCTGCACTCCAGTTAACGCACTTTGCATGTATATGTATACGATTTAACTTTGACACATTTTCAACAGAAAGGTCCCCAAACACAATGAGTAAAAAATTAACTATAAGTAATAAAAAGAGCATCGAAACACGAGGCTATCTGATTTGTACGAGGGGAAGGGGGGCGTAGCCCCTGAGTATTAATCAGATTGCCGAGTGTTTTGATGTTCTTTGTATTTTGTATCATAGTCAAACAGAAAAACAGGTTCCCTGTTGTCACAATATGAAACCCCATGAAAAAGTAACCAATGAATGAGCATCTGAATATGATATTTCTGTCTGTTTCTTTGCCGTCACAATTAGTAAACCCCAGCAAAAATGAGCCAATCAATGGGCGTGGTCCGGAATGCGGGTATCTCATACCTGCACTTCAGTTAAGCACTGTGCATGTTCAACAGAAAGGTCCCCAAACTATGATACAATTCTTGCTTGAACTTCACCATCTTTTCAATGAGATCTCAGTGGCGTAGCTACTATTAGGCCATGTAGGATTGGGCCTACAACTTGGTCAAGAAATTGACATTTTCAAAAGTATAGTTGTGTGCATGATATACCATCTTCAGTAAAGTTTGCATCTAATCAAATTCATAGTTTAAAATTATTGTTCTGATAATTTTCCTTGAACATACTTTGGAACGCACATTTTGCTCTTTTTAATCTGAACTTGTTTTTTGCCTCTGGGGGCTAAGCCCCGAGACCCCCTTTTAAGTGCCTACAAGTTGAAGAAAACTGGCTACGCCCCTGGATCTGGTTAAAATCAAACACATGATTGTCAATTCTACTCATTGAAATACTTTGTTTTCATCTGCACAATTTAGTCAGGTAATACAAATTTCATTAACACGTTTGATTATCTTAGACAGATCTGGGATATACTATAACATCGTATTTATCGTATGTCCCAGGACAGATTAAGTAATCCATTTATTAAATAAAGAATGCATGTATGTCAACAATCTTGCTGTTAATTAAAGTTGTTTGAAAATCCTTTTCAATAGTTTTACCTTTTTAATAAAACTTTCAATAGAATGTAAATTAAATTATCCACGTAAATTAATCCATTCGCAGTTTTCATTTTTATCGATATACATGTATGTTGCTTATATATATATATTGAAGGCGAAAGTGCATATGTTAATTATGACTTTAAGCGAGGGTTTTAGTCAAGATTGTTTACTTTTTAGATCGACGTGTTGGCTACAGTAAATAATTTACTTTGTTTGTTTCATTAAGTTTAATTTTTAAACTGAAAAAAAAAAAAAAAACACCGAAAAAAAATGTTGTTGGGCTCTGATAATTGCGACAATTACCGCCGGTATAGAAGTTTGTCCATCGTCCATCATTAAGAAAAGTTTGCATTATTAAATTATTTTTCCTTTTCATCGTTTTTTTTTAATATTCTTTTTATTTATTTATTTACTTCCCTCCGATCATTATTTATTCGATCCATATGTGCTTAATTAACAGATTTAACAATTCATCTTTCATACAAATCATAAGCATGAAAATTAAGGACGTTATAACATGCAACTTAATTTGACACTCAATTTTATTAAGATAGACAACGCTTACTCGTATTTATTTTTTTGTGCAAAATTGCGGAGCATCTTAATTAAAGTGAACACACTAGGACAAATGCGGAGATTTGATTAAAATCGTTGTTTAAAGACACAAAATAACAAATGCATTTTCGACTTCCATATAATTTTGAAAAGTGCCGTACGGCTAGCCAATACAGTGTGTCCAGGCTAGTCGTACGTGACTCACGTACGGCTAGAACTTTTGGCTAGCCGTACGGGCCCGTACGGCTAGCCACTTCCTTTAATATAAATACAATTTGAGCAAAACGGACTATTTTCTCACTTTGATAATTCTTGAACGAGACATTTATACTAAAGTGCCTGTCATATACATTAAGTAGGCCCACAGTTTTATAACTTTAGAAAGATTATCACGTATCTCTTCAAAACCAGTAAAGCCCAATTCTAATTTTCAGAAAATTAGAATTGGGCTTTACCAACAGGTGCTATTTGCATTGATTTGACCTAAAAATGTGTTTGACCTTGTTATTTATACAATAAAATATCAATATATTAAAAAAAAAAAAAAAAAAAAAAAAAAAAAAAATTTTCACTGTTATAGATCTATTATTATAGTAATATAACAGTGAAATTTTTTTTTTTTTTTTTTTTTTTTTTTTTTTTTTAAATATATTGATATTTTATTGTATAAATAACAAGGTCAAACACATTTTAGGTCAAATCAATGCAACAAGCACCTGTGGGCTTTACTGGTTTTGAAGAGATACGTGATAGTATACTAGTGGTTGGCCTACATTTTGGTTATCAATTTATCGATATATCATAGACTTACGGCGTTTGAAGTTGAATACGTTTACTTGTACACATGCGAATATTCATTTTCCTACATGGATACTTACTTTTAAAATATTTTACAACAAAACATAATGTATATTCAGATAATTCTTACCTTTCTTACTTCTCCTCTTACTTCCTTATACAGTTCAAAGGGTAAAGTAAAAAGTTCCAGTACACGGAATCCGGAACACAGGATATTCTCCGCCTTACGCTGGATAGTTTCCGGCCTTGTAAACTTTAAATAATACAATAGTACACTATCAATAGTCTGATCATTCAATAATAAATTCAGTTTATGTAAATGAAGTGCTAAAAAGCTCGGGAAAGTGATACAAAATTAATTTGAATATACGGATTGTCGCAAATTCCGGAAAAAATACGGCCCGGCACGTGTTGGTCAGCCCTCAGCCCGTGACATAGGGCATGTGACACCAGCATCGGGGCTGACAAGTACACAGACTGCAGGCGTGCCTTACAATGTCTCTATCTTGGGGCTGAAGGGTCCAGAATGAGCTCCTCTTGTAAAATTATCATAACGGTCCTGTTTATATATACGTATATAAAGTCATTGCTATGACTTTTGATGAAGATGATAGAAGTACGCAGATAAATTATATATATATATATATATATATGAATAAATACACACATACCACCAAATCGAAATGCCAGTCCAAGTACGGCACAGCGCCTAGCAGAACAATCATGAAAGCATAGCCATTGCCAATCCACCATCACAAAAATGATGGGTTCAGAACAGCTATATACAGTCAAAAATGATGGGTTCAGAACAGCTATATACAGTCAAAAACTGTACTACACATTGACACTGGCTCAACATTTGCATAAATGTAGAGTATATACTCTGTTGTCGTGTCTCACAAATCAACGATGACATTTTTATTGTCTTCTTCATTGATTGGGACCAGAGAACTATATATCTATTTCCGAAAGTCAACTGGAGCCCGTAAGATCCGTAGGACTGTTCTGCTAGGCGCTGTACCGTAATTGGACTGGCATATCGATTTGGTGGTATGTGTGTATTAATTCTCTCATTTCTATAATAATTTATCTGCACACTTGTATCAACTTCATCAAAAGTCATAGCAATGATTTCCCAACTTATAGTTTTCACAATTACAAAACGCTATAGGACTCTGTCAAGTTTTTTTTTCCGAATGGTTAAATATTTTTTTAAGAACCTGAGCCGGGGGCATTTGTGTTTAACAAACACATTTTTGTTTATATTTAGTATTTGTCGAGCATTTACATAGAAATTTGTTTATACATATATTTCTTCTACTGTATTCCTAAACTGTAGTAGAAGAGATGACTGGTGTTAAAAATTTAATTATATGACCCCACTATTTATAATGCAGTTGTAAACTTTTTACATGCATTTCTATCAAGATTCTGAGACAAAAGATAACAGGTTATCTTCTGTCCCAGCGAGAATCAATGACTATTTGAATTATTTTGATTAATATTCAGGGAAACATTCTAAGCACACTATATATATATGTTTCTGTATGTCTTTTGATTTTTTTTTAAACTTCGGGTCCACACATGTGGAACCCCATTTATTAGAAAGACATACATACAATCATACAATAAAGCATAATCATACAAATAAATATAAAGAAGATCAGTAAAAAAAACTAAACATGTGGTATAATACAGTTTCAAAATTTTTCACATTACATTTATAGTATAATTTGAAATGCGATTATATAAATATTATATAAATATTCGTTAGGAGAACATTGTAATACGGCGGTTTATTAATTATATTATATGATATTTATAAACAGATGGTTTGGTGAGTTTTTACATTCATTTATATAATGTTATTTTCTCATCCTTGTCACCACAGTGCCCCCAGCTAGAAAACCTTAACGAAAAGTGTATACGAAAAGTAGATTAGGTCTTCCCGTGGATTATGGTTTAGAAAATGAGTAAAGATGTATAATATGAAAGTATTTTGTTAAATTGACATAATTTATTACATAGTAGGTAGAGTTATTAATTATCGTGGCATATTTCTGCAACCAGATAACCATATAATTAACCAGTTAATTAAGAGGTTAACTAGTTACGTAACTAGTTAACCTCTTAATATTAAGCTGGCAAAATCAAAGGATGGCAGTTGTAAGCACAAACATGCATTTATTTCTCGTTATGATCTTTTATTTATTGAAGAAAAAAAACTACATGTAGTTACGTAACTAGTTAACCACATAACTAACTAGTTAATTAAGAGGTTAACGAGTTACGTAACTAGTTAACCTCTTAATTAACTAGTTAGTTATATGGTTATCTGGTGGCAGAAATATGCCACCATACTGAACACCATGGACAAGGATTATTTTGATAAATAAAATAAACCACAATTCCATGTCTCCTAACGGAATAGTTTATTGACATGTTTCTATTATCAGAGAATCTTTTTGAAGAAATTTATATAATAACATTCTTCATTTATACTGTGTAAATTCTCCTTTGAAAACATTCAGTTCGCCACACATACCCTCTCAAATCTTTGGCTTTTGTCATGAATAAAGTTTTGAGTAGTCCATTTATAATTAATACATTTTAACAGATCATAATTTCATATTTTACAAGTTCTCTTAAATACAGTTTTATTCTTGTCCATTATTTTTTTCAATTTCAACCATGGTGTTGTTATTGCGTACTGGAGTTATTGTTCCGGACAGGTTGAGAATGTGGCATCCATGTTTTAGGTGTTATTGGTGTACTTCTTCTGCTTGTATTTAATACATTTACCTGTAACATAGGAAATAAAATATCTACAGGTTAATCATATTGTAACATAGTCAATCATGATCAGGCACCTTGCTATAATGTGGTAAAGCACGAATTGAAAACCAGGCAATCTGTATGATTGAAGACGGGACCAGATCCTGGCCAGGTTCTATAATACTGGTGGCAAAGGCTTTGTCACTTTTCCTAATAAACTGTGAAGCTGACTAAACACATCTTGTAGACAAACAGCGGACACTGACAGATAAGCTGTCACTACGGTACTTGAATACATCAAACATGGAAATATTATATTCTTAGTCTTTTCTCTCATTATATAATGCGAAAGATGAATTATTGATTAAGGGATAATAATTGCTTTTCTCTTGTTCTGTTTTAATAGATTAGTAAATCGACAATTACCAACAGTGCAGTCTAGCTCTTTTCACGAATTAGTTCACAACTTTGAATACCATCAAATCCTGCCACAGTATTACGTATCTATTTTACACACAACGTTAACAAAATCCTCTATTAAATGTGAGTGGGCAGATGGAGGAAGTGGTGACCTAATATATTGGAATTGAAATAATTGTTTAAAGTTATCAGCCTTTTACATACTGCCGAGATTGCTTTTGAAAGTGTCAAATGTCACTATTCCCTTGTTTTTAAGCTTTAATCAACTAAACGACTATCATATCAACAAATACAGTTTTTCCATATCAATGTTAATTTCTTATCTGTAGAAACACAATACCGACTACAGTCGGTTTTGTTTTGTTTTATTTTCATTTTAAATAAATATGATAAAAAATACATTGTATGACACGAAGTAGCCTTCATTAAATTTCTGCAATTGACTTAGGAGATGAAGTAATTTTATCATCAATATGCAAAATTTAAGCAACCAATAGCGTAGCGCCTTGTCACACACTGCAAGGATGTCCATGCTGACTTGGAACTACATGTGTATACTGGCAACAAACTTCCAACAGGTTAATGGTAAAAAGTTATGAAAGCTGTTCGTAACTTATAAATCCATGAGACACAAAATATTATCTGTTAAAATACATGTACAATTAATGTACATCTACTGTAAGAACACAACTTATAATTGTTAAAAACTCTTCAGAGCAAGTGTTTAGTGAAGCAACTATGTTAATCTAAGAGGAGGCACTACTTACAACAGAATCACAAAAAAAATCACAAAATCAAAACGTATTTAATTTATTACTCAAAGCATTTGAGTTATTATTTCTTTTTGTCCCTTTTCCATCTTCACCTCACCGTCTCTGAAAAGAGACAAAATAGTTCAGTCAACTAAACATATATACGTGCAAAAATGTTATTTGAAGTGAAAATAACCAATAAAATGTTGCAAGTGATAAAAATGTTTGTATTTTCCCGGGAAAGTGACTAAAAATGTTTTAAATTTAAATTTAATGTTTTATCGGGGAAAGTAAATTGGAAATTTTTCGTTTGGGGTGTTTTTCCCGGTTACTAGTAGTTTAATTGGGAATTTATGTTGTCCCTTAACAAATTAAAATTGGACACTTACATAAGAAATTTGTCCGTCATCTAAGCGACTTCTGACATATCATATTTGAGTTGAATATGTACCACTGTTGGGGAGATAATGAATGTGAACTGAAAATTTCCTTTTTTTCAAAGTTAAAGGGGATTAACTCTGCCAAAAATCATCGAACCATGACAAAATTCAAACTTGACCTGTGCATTTCTTTGACGTATCCATATGTCAAATTTGAGTTGAACGGAAACTGAAAATTTCATATTATTTTCAACGTGAAAGAGGGCATAACTCTGCCAAAAATCATCGAACCATGACCAAATTCGAACTTGACCTGTATTTTCTCATGACATATCCATATGCCAAATTTGAATGTTGAATGTGTGCTGCAACCGTTACTAAGATAATGAACGGAAACTGATGATGGCGGAATGACAGAATGACGGAAACAGGGTAACACTATATGCCCCAGCCATTATATGGCGGGGGCATAAAAAGCTGATGCACAGTGTAGGATAAATACTGATATTTGTGGTATTTGTTGTCTAAATGACGTTTTAAGTAGGGCATGGAATTTCATTCGAATATTCCAAACACCACTGAACATTCAAATGGGGAAAAGCGAAGACGAATGTTTGGGAAAAAAAACTAAAGATTTTTTCTCTCATTTGTTTGTCATAAAATTATGAGGATTATAGTTCTTTCAATCAAATAACTTACTTTTTTTTCAAAACCCTTATATCTGATGATTATAATTTTGTCATCCAATAGTACATGACTTCTATTTTTTTGATGTTCAAGGTAAGAGTGACCACAAAACGTTTTTGGATAATTTTGCATATAGACCCTATAATAAGG